AGATGAGAGAATTCAAAAAATTATTATAAATTTAAGATGTTAGATAATTATATATATGTAATAGCAATGTGGAATATAACATGTGCAGATGCACATGGATATATTATCTCTGTAGTCAGAATTTACATAATAGATAAGCTGGTATGAGAAACACTTCCCCGCTTATATGTTAGTTTTGTCATTTGTGTATGTCTTTTTAGTTTTACATGTTATTGCTTTGTAGGTATTCCTGTTGTTGTTTGTTGTAGTTATGTATGTTATAAAAATAATAAAATGTAATTAAAAAAAAACACTTCTTATGGGACAATATGTCTACCCTGATTGAGGCACTGCCTGATGATAAAAGGGTTCTAGGACAAACCTTTAAGCAAGAAGGCCTCTCAGTGGCCAATCGGTAAATGTTGGCAGCATGCCACACTGCCGATGCCACATCAGTCTGTGGTCACCTCTGTAGCACTTTGCTATTTCTCCTGGCTTAGGACTGCTGGCCTCACAGAGGATGCCTGCACCCATATTGAAGACCTCCTTTTTGATGGTATTGGCCTTTTCAGTGCTGAAGCAGATGACATACTTGATAATGTACAAGAGAAATGAACAGCTTCCAGGTACTGTGGAGTTTCCCCACATATCAACACCATCCATAACGCACACAGTGCCACACTGTCGATGCCACATCTAAGTCTATAGTGACCTATGTAGCACTTCACTGTTTCTCCCGGCTTAGGACAGTTGGCCTTGCAGAGGATGCCTGCGCCCATATCGAAGAACTCTCCTTCAATGGCATTGACCTTTTCAATGCTGAAACAGATGACATTCTTTAGAATGTACAAAAGAAATGAACAACTGCCAGGCACTGGGGAGTTTACACCAAATACCAACAGCACCCACAATACAAACAGTAGTGTCATTTCTACACCTCCTAACAGAGGTTTCAATACGAACCTCAGAGGCAAACAACCAATTCTCCTTGCTACAAACAGCAGATGTACCACAGCAAGACCCAGCAGCAAACCACACTCAGACACCACGACCATAAATTTAAGCATCAGGTTTTACATCAAATCGGCCAAGATCTTGCTACTACCTCTCACCCCTCCCCCTGCTCTTTGGAGCCACCTGCATGGAAAAACCTCTCCACAGATGCCTGGGTCCTCTCTATCATAGAACAAGGGTACTGCATAGAATTCCACCAGCTTCCTCCAGAATTGCACACCTCCGTCACTAACTCTGCAAAACGAAATACAATCCTTATTACTCAAAGACACCATAGAACCTGTACCACTGCAACATACAGACACAGGTTTTCTTTCTCATTATTTCATTATTCTCATTATTGTCCCCACTTAGGTCTTTTTTACCTACGTACTTCTCCGGCCGCAAAGTTTCTCTTCGACTTGCGGCCAGAGAATCGACCTACGGACCAGAAGGTGGAGGCGGGGAAAGTGCCAAGTTCAAATTTGGCGCTTTCCCCACCTCCCCCTTCCAGTCCGTAGGCCGTAGGTCGTGCCTCTGGATGCCTTCCAGGGCTTCTCCACTGCCATGGGAGGCATCTCGGAGGTCCCACCACCACCGATACTGCTTCAGAGCCACTATTAGCGGCGGGGGGGGAACCTCCAAGATGCCTCCCATGGCGGCGGAGAAGCCCTGGAAGGTATCCGGAGGTCCCTTGCCGCTGCTGCTGCTGCTGGGAGCCGAGCTGCACCGGGCGATCCCGGCCATGCTCGGACTCCTGGACTGTCCAGGAGTCCGCGCATGGCAAGGATCGCCTGGCGCGGCTTGGCTCCCAGCAGCGGCAGTGGCGGCTCTCCGGATGCCTTCCAGGGCTTCTCCGCCACCATGGGAGGCATCTCTGAGGTCTCCCCCCTGACGCCGAACGTGCCTCTGAATCACGATCGGCGGCGGCGGGGGGCCTCCGAGAAGGCAAAAAGGCAGGGAGAAAGGGCTGGACATTCGAATTAGCCAGCAGCTGGGCCTTCTCGGTTGTGGTCCTGTCTCTGTGAGACTCACTTCTATGCAAGGTCTGCCAGGCTCCCTCCCTCCACACCTTTTGCAAGTCAGCTAAGACTGACCTATTAAAAGAAGTCTTCAGTTGTATCCTTCCCCTTTGTTAGTTTCTGTTGATTCTCCATTTATACCATCTACTTCAACTGTCACCTCATGGCTTTTTTTGTCCTTTTAAAAATCATTTTAAATTTAAAGTTATAGATTGCAGTTGGGGTGGCGGTGGCTGTGTTTTAATGTGTTTTAGACAGCCTTCGGCAATGATTTTTCACTGGATGGGCAGTATAGAATAATAGATTCATAGAAAAGTGAAGTTGGAAGGGATCTACAAGGCCATCAAGTCCAACCTGGAGAAAACAAATGAACAAACAAATACTCCATTCTTGGTTCCTCCATAGTTCTGCTGTTCTCACTGCATCAGTTAAAATATATAAATAAATATATAATGTATGCTATACTTTTTGTATGTTAAATTTTATACTGCAAGTCTTAGTGGGTGTGTTTGTATGTTAAATTTTATACTGCAAGTCTTAGTGGGTGTGTTTGCTGGCAATAGCCAGAACTGTTTAACCTACATACTCTTTCAAAGAATGAGCTTGTAAAAAATGCCAGTTTGAAAAGTCTGTATATCTAAGTATTCATAAAATTTATTCTGGTTAATGAATTAAGCCCTTACTGTAGGATTGTAGGCAAAATACCAAAGTTAAATTTAACCCAGGCTTTTTTTTTTTCTCACATAGGAAAATAACAATAATGGAAGATCCTGATCAGAACATTCATCTGAAACATCTCTCTTTGCAACAAGCAACCAATGAGGAGGAAGCACTGAACCTTCTTTTTTTAGGTGACACAAACAGAATGATTGCAGAGGTAGGAATTTTTGGTTGGTAATATCCAAAGTTTCCTTTAGCTTTTAAGCAGCAGAATGCTTACATTTACTATTAGAACAGTTGTCTGAAGTAATGTAATATTTCTACCTTGATGATAAATGTTCATTCTCAAATTAGCAATTGCTTTTGTTTTTCATTTACAGTGATTTTCAACTGTATTTTGTTTGTTGTATTCGCAAAGGCTTTCACGGCCGGGATCTAATGGTTGTTGTGGGTTGTATTTTGTTTCTTCCTGTGTATTGCTCGTAGGATGAATGTTTCAGATGTTTTATTTTTCTCTGAGAGAAAATATCCAAAGCAAATGAAGTTGTATGCATGACAGGGAATGAGGCAACAGATTTGCCAGTGAATTCTGATCTACAGTATCTAGATGACTATGCTGGATCCATGAGTTAGTTAGCTAGTTAACTAGTTAGTTAGCTAGTTAGCTAGTTAGCTAGTTAGTTTATTTAACTTATATGCCGCCCACACTACCCAAAAGTCTCTGGGCAGACTACAGCAATTTAAATGCAATAAAAGAAACATGTTCACAATTCAGTACACCAAGTGCAACATGTTCTGCTCTTGAGTAGGGAGAGACACAGCCTCGCTAGGAGACACCTTCATGGTAGTCTGTGAAGACTGTCTTCTTTACTTGTTCCCACCCATTCCACTGATTCAGTGGACATTGGTCAGGGCTCATCAGCTACGGGCCAGGGCGATTCTAGTGGCCCCATGGTGGCCTCAGCAACCATGGTTTACAACATTGAGGTCCATGGCAGTCGAGTTCTTCAGATTACCTTCTCATCTGCATCTTCTCATGCAAGATGCAGGCAACATCTGCCATCCAGACCTAGAATCACGCCACCTTCCAGCTTGGAGAATTCTCCCAAGATAGCAGAAGGCTAGAAAACCTTCCACCAAGCTGTTATACTCCTACAAATGGAATAATTTCTACAAATTTATTACGTCTAGAGATCTGTTGCCTATTCCTGTATCCTTGAATACTCTGCTCATTTTGCTCCATTACCTATTTGATCAGGGCTTAACACTTTCTACTCTTAAAGTTTATATATCAGCTATCGTAACTTATCAACCGGCAAGTTCAAAGGCATCACGTTTGTTTTCACATCTGATCCTGAAGATGTTTTTAAGGGGCTTATGCAATATCTGCCCACCTGCTTGACCCCCATTACCGCAGTGGTCCTTGAAAGTCATTTTACAAGCTCTTACTCATCCTCTGTTCGAGCCAATGGCTTTGTCACATCTTTGATTCATCTCCTTCAAAACTTTGTTCTCGGTAGTAATAACTTTTGCGAGGAGAGTGAGTGAATTGGCTTCACTTTGGCCGATGCGCCTTATCTACAGTTCTACCTGGACAAGATAATCTTGTATCCTGACATCTCTTTCCTTCCCAAAGTTGTTTCAAGTTTTCACGTTAATCAACCTTTGATTTTCCCAGTGTTATTCCCTAATCCTTCTTCAGACATTGAGTGCATGCTCCATTCCTTAGATGTTCATTGTGCATTAGGGTTTTACACAACCAGGACTAAGGACTTTCGCACGTCTTCCAGATTATTTGTATGCTTCCTGCCTCCTCTCAGACGATTTCTAGGTGGATTGTGTCTGCTATTTCTTTGGCCTATGAACTGCCTGGCAAAGTTACACCAGAGGCATTAAAGGCACACTTTACGAGAGCTGTGGCTACTTCAACTGCCCTATTGCATGGAGTTGATGTGTCAGATATTTGCCGAGCAGCCACATGGTCCACACCATCCACCTTTGTGATGCACTACCGTCTGGACCTCGGGGCCAAGAAGGAAGCAAGTTTTGGAAGTGCTGTGTTGACTTTCTTATTGGCGTGACAGCCCTCCTTCTGGTAAGTGAGCTTGCTAGTCATCCAATTGTGTGCATTCACAGAGGCCACAAGGAAGAAAGAAAGGTTACTTACCTGTAACCATGGTTCTTTGAGTGGTCCTCTGTGAATCCACATATCCCGCCCAGCCTCCCCGCTGTCCGTCACTTGGTTCTTGAACTTGTTACGGTCAGAGCCTTGACAGCAGCGGACATTTTGGAACTGAGGTATTACAGGAGGACGGAGCATGCGATATGGGGCAACATACAATTAATTAAGTTTTTTAAGCTCTAGAATATTTCAAAGAGTCCTGCACAGGCGCAGTCTAAACCCAATTGTGTGGATTCACAGAGGACCACTTGAAGAACCATGGTTACAGGTAAGTAACCTTTCTACCTATGCACAACAAGACGTGGCATGACTAATTACAGCAGAAACCCTAATTCGCAGCCATCAGTTGCTGCAGTGATGTTATTTTACCTATATATGCATAAGTTGTGCTGTGACCTACATAATTTCCTGCAGTTATAGTACAGGTTGATCTGAAGTTGTTGGGTTTTGTTTGTTTGTTTGTTTTTTGCTGATCACATGACACAAAGACTGATTTCAATCAGTCTGGCCTTTTTTGCTTCCAACACGGCTTTTTTCCTTCCACTGTTGGGGACTTCTAATTTTTTTCAAGCTGGAACAATTCAGACAGACTTCTTCCTGTATGGTTAGTTGATTTGTACATTTACAGACTGGAGTGTCTGTGGGTGGTGTTTCAGTGACATAAGAAGTTGGGGTGTGATGCTCAAGACCATGGAATACCTGCCTCTGCATTCTTCCTCTGCAACCGTCCTCTGATTATTATTATTTTTTCATATATGAGATTAATGCTAGATCATCTTGTCATCTTATCACTAGTACTGATATACTAGTTTAGTGCTAGGTCACCTCCGGATGAGATTTTTTTTAAAAAAATTACAAATAAAAAGAGAAATAATTCAAATGAAATAAAAGATATTCCTGTGGTATGCAATATTTGCAACAAGTGTGAACAATGAACTCCTCAATCAATCTGCCATCCCTATGTGATCACTGTTGCTATCAATAGCAACATGCCTCTTCAGACAAAATGGTAATACACTGACTTAAAGCTAATTTAAATGTTAGCCACATCGAATGTTTGTGGAAATATCATAAAGAAGGCCTGTCTAGGGAGAGCATTCTGTAAGAGGCGGGTCACAACTATAAAGCCCTCTCCTTTTCACGACCTTCTGAGTCTGTTTCAGGCAAAGTATTTAGAGGCAGGTCTCAGACAATGACCTCAGGATGACCTGGCAGATTTATTCCTGCATTCTGTTCGTACAGGTAAGCAATATTGTGCACATAAGGTTTTTAAATGCAGCTCTCTATCCTTCATGTTCCTTAACAATCAATATACAAAAGCCTACTACGTAATTTTGAACATGGGTAGTGTGGGCGGCATATACATTGAATGAATGAATGAATGAATGAATGAATGAATGAATGAATATTTTAAAAAAGCATAAATAGCTAAATATATAATGTGTTTATATTGGCTGTAGATGTTTAAAGCATAGGTACCTGTTTTGTCTACTAGCTAGCCATGAACCTAACTTACACAAATTATCTAATACCATTTTAAAGCCATCCAGTGTTGTGGCTATCACTATCTTTTAATAGTGAAATTCATAGTTTAGCTGTGCTCCTTTACTTGCCTTTTTTTTCCTGAGGTGAAAAGTCATAAGCCTTTTGTTGTGGAGGAGGTGCATCAGTTCCTTCATAATTTTTAGGGATGTAAATATTCTCTTGTTTCATTCTCACAAGTTATGACAAGGAGCTACTATGGTCTTCTCCTTACCTTCAAGAACGTAGGAAAATTTGCATTGGATCTTGATACTATTCTTGCAGTAGCAAAAGTGTACTCACAGTTGAAGAAGCATCTCTAATAAGAACAGAGAATATAACTTTTTTGAGGGCTGCAAATTAAGAAAGTTGTACAAATAATAACAATAATATTTCAGTGGAAAGAACACAGATTCTGCAGAATGATGTTGGCTTCTGCATTGATGCATGGGTAGGGATCCTGTCAAACAGGATTCCTTCCCATAAAGTCCCACAGGGACAATAACACAAGGTGTTCTGCTTGTGCAGGCATTGTCCTTAGGTAAGCAAAGATTGCTGTTACAAATAGTTGGTGTGTGTTTGTGCAAGGAATTCCTGTATATCAAGTGTGTACTTAGGTTTGATTTGTTGTTCTGGGTTTTTTTTCAGGGGGGCGAGGTTGTCCCTCATTTGTTTTCAGGTCTTTTGGTACTGGGTCTTTGCTTAAACTTGGAAGGGACTGGCTATTAGGGTTCTTTCATTTTCTTTTTCCTCGTTTTTGTTCTATCTCAACCAAAGGCCTTAAAGAACCCTTAAAATATTACAAAACAGGATCAAATGTGGTCTGTTCAAAATTCCTAACAAACTCTTCAAAGTAAGTTCAGAAACCTTCAATTTATGAATGTGGGATATTGTGTTTCTGTACCTACAACTCAAAAACCCAGGAAATAACCCACTATTGCTGCACAATAATGTGCCAGAAGGAAAAAGGATGCCAAGCTTTGGGAAGCCTGAATGTTGAAAAACCCACCTTTGCCCAAATTGGCTATCCACTTTTGTCCAAGCTGTTTATCTTAGATAATTCAAGTGTTCAGTGAAAAGGCCTCTTAAGTCTTAACTAAACTCTGTGTTCCTAAGAATAATAATTTAAAAACATAAATAAGAGTTTTTTAACATAGGTTTTTCCTCACATACATTAGCCTGAAAGTCTCCTCCCTGCTGGATATTGTCTTTCACAATCACTATAAATATACAGTGGTGCCTCAACTTACGAATGTCCCAACTTATGACCATTTCGAGTTACGACCAGCTCTGGCCGCAAAATTTTGCTTTGACTTGCGGCCAGAGCTTCCAGTTACGAACAGAAGAAGGCAGGGAAAAAAGGAAGAAATTCAAATTGCTGACTGTTGGTAGGCGAACAGGCTGCTTCTTTGTAGCTCTTTTGCCCCAATGGTTAGAGTGAGGGCAATCAGAGGGGGCTTTGGGCTGCCTGGTAAGGTAAGGTGCCGCTTTCTGCTTTCTAAAAACTGTTCTGG